CGGACCCAGAAGCCTCGCCGTGTGCGATTCCTCCACGGGACGCCCAGGGGCGGGTCCAGGGAGGAGGCGGGCCAGCGGCTGCCGGGGCCGGTGGGGGGCAGGAGGGGTGACGGCTAAGGGCACGGCGTCTGGGGGCGAGGGAAACGCTCTGAGACCGGACGTCAGGGGTCGCACCATCTGGAGAGTGGACTGCGTGGTGGGTGAATGTTGGCGCACACACCCCTGCACACACATACACCCCTGCACACACACACCCCTGCACACACCCCCTGCACACACACCTCCTGCACACACATAAACCCCTGCACACACACCCCCTGTACACACCCCCTGTACACACACCCCTGCACACACACCCCTGCACACACACCCCTACACACACATCCCTGCACACCCACACCCCTGCACACACACCCCCTGCACACACCCCTGCACACACACCCTACACACCCCCGCACACACACCCCTGTACACACACCCCCTGCACACACTCCCTGCACACCCCCCTGCACACACACACCCCTGCACACACCCCTGCACACACACACCCTGCACACACCCCCTCCACACACACCCCTGCACAAACACACCCTGCACACCCCCCTGCACACACACACCCTTGCACACCCCCCTAACAAACACACCCTGCACACACACCCCTACACCCCCCCGTACACATCCCCTGCACACACACCCCTGCACACACACACCCTGCACACCCACACCCCTGCACACCCCCCTGCACACACACCCCTACACCCCCCCGTACACACCCCCTGCACACACACCCCTGCACACACATCCTACACCCCCCCATACACACCCCCTGCACACACACCCCTGCACACACACACCCTCCACAAACACACCCTGCACACACCCCCTTCACACACACTCCTGCACACACCCCCTCCACACCCACCCCTGCACACCCCCTGCGCACACACACACACACCCTTGCACACACACCCCCTGCACACACACCCCCTGCACACACTCCCTGCACACACACACCCTGCACACCCCCCTGCACACACACACCCTAACTAACACACCCCCTGCACACACACCCCTGCACACACACACCCCTGCACACACACACCCTGCACACACATCCCTCCACACACCCTGCACACACATCCCTGCACACACACCCCTGCACACACACCCCTGCACTCTGTGCCACATTCAGACAGAGACTACGGGCTTCAAACCGGGCCCTGCCCCTCCCCAGCTCTTACTCCCCATCTCTGGGCCCCTCCGGCTGCTACATCGCGGCCCGGTCAGGGGTGGACTGCAGCCCTGCTGGCCTCTGGCTGCCGTCGCGTGAGCCTTGTTTGTTTTCAGTACGTTTTTATTGATTTCAGAGAGGAGAGGAGGGGGAGAACAAGAAACATTGACATGAGGGAGGATCATGGGTCGGCTGCCTCCTGCACGTCCCCACCTGGGGATCGAACCCACAACCTGGGCCTGTGCCCTGACCTCCTGCTTCACAGGTGGATGCTCAGCCCTGAGCCAGGCCGGGCCGGGCGTGTGTGGAAGCGGAGACACTTCTTGTGACTTTGGATTCACTCAGACTTCTTTCCCGAACCCCAGAGACTGAACTCAGCCGGGGATTCCTGGAGGGACCCAGCCTTCCGAGCCAAAGCACCACGTTCCAGGCCCGGCTCTGCCGCTCACCCAGCCGCGCCCCGCAGGCCGCCCGCTCCCTGCCCCAGGGCCTCAGGGTGGGACGGGTGAGGTGTGCCAGGGCCAGAGGACAGTGGGGACCGCGGCACGGTTCTTGGGACCATTCCTAGTTTTCTCACGAGGCCAGCACCCCCTGCCTCCGCTGGCACCCAGGACTGTAATCTCAGGGCTAAACAGTCCCATCCTGGTTATAACTCACATGCCACCAACTGCCCTCAGGTGGCGCTGCCATCGGGGCAAGTTACGGCCCCCAGTCTCTGCCCAGCCCTGGCGAACCGGCCACGGCCACGGCCACGCGCAGACTCCAAAGTCTGATTAGGGAACCTCGCTCCCCTGCCCACCCCCTCCCCGTCTGCAGGAGTCACGGTCAGAGCGGCCAGCCTGGGGGCCCTGCCTGGACATCAAGTTCACCGGCTCCACACAGGGACCGGGCTGCCCACACGGGGCGTGGGTGGGGCCTCAGCCACTCCGTCCACCTTCCGGGACCCGGCCTCCGCCCAGGCCCGCAGGCCGGACTGCGAGGCCTTGAACTCAGCTCCTCTGCAAGGCTGTTCCCTGGACTCTGCCCAGGACACAGACCCCAGGACAAGTCCCAGGGCCGTGCCGCCGCCAGGCCTGCACCCGCAGCACCCAGGCCCGGCCGGCGCTCAGCAGCCCCAACACAGAGGCTCCGAGCGCCACCTGAGGCCACATTCGCCCGGCGGCTTCCGAAGCACCGTGGCCGGCCAGCCGGAAGAGCAGCTTCCGGCAAGGACCTCTGTCATCCCGACCCTCAGCCCTCAGGCCACGCCTTCTCCCCTGCGCGCTCTCACTCCTCCCCCCACCGGCTCTGCCACCCCAGCTCAGCAGCCTGGGGGGGGGGGGGGGCGCGGGCATGGCCGGCTCCTGACACAGGGGCCAGTGGCCTCCGCACGGGACAGAGGGGCAGCCTGGGCCCCGCCTTGAGGGAAGGAGCGGACACTGAGCGGGGTCGCCTGGGCCTGGCCGCCACAGCGTCTTCCGGCCCCCTCTCCCCCCCCGCACGGACGGGCACGCCAGCACCGCACAGGTCCCCACAGGAGCCCCTCCTGACACGCAGACAGCCCAGCACCAGGATGGGGCCAAGGCCACGGAGGGAAACTGGCCTAGCTCCCCCAGGATGGTAGCTGCCCCCTCCGCCCAGCCTTCCCCCTGCAAACAGCAGCTGCGGGAGCCAGCCCCCGGGGGGGGGGGGAACCCCTCCCTCGGAGCTCGGTGGGTGGGTGGGCGGGCGTCCGCAGGGAACTCCCGAGCCATGGGGGGGCGAGGGGGAGCTGGGAGGGGCGCCCTGCACAGCCACAACAGGGTCGCACCCCGGAAACGCCAGGGAGCCCCTCCTTTCTCCGATGACAGGGCCCATCCAGGCGCCTCTGGGTCCGAGCGGCCAGTCTCCCGTCACAAAATTCTGTCCACAGCCCCCCGCCGCCCCCCCCCACTGGCATGGGGTCTAATCCACACTCCTCGCCCCTCCTCCTGTCCCCCCCTCCCCTTCCCTCCTCTCCTCCCCCACCTCCCTTCCCCTCCCCTCCCCTCCGTCCTCCCCTCCCCCATCCTATCACACACACAAACCTGATTCGGGAGCCCTCCCACCTCCTCCTGGCGCCGCTGGTGAACTGAGGCCCAGGGAGGGGGGGGGGCACGGGAGCGGCCCCGATTCATCTCCTGACACCCACTCGGGGCCGGCGGGGGCCTGGCAGGCGGCAGTGGGGAGACACGCCCGCCCGAGCCGAGCCTGTGAGACCTCCACTGGGGGCCGAGTGACCAAGCCAGAGCACCCCCTCTTCCTGGTGTGTGCACACGCGGGCCAGGCCCTGCCCGGGCCCAGCTCCCCGCTGGGCCTCCCCCTCCTCAGCCATGGCCAGGGCAGCTCGGAGGAAAGACGGCAGAGAAGGGGCGGCACCCAGCTAGGGGTCCTGGGCACCCCTACCTCCCAGGCTCCAGGTCCAAGCGGCAACCCCCACCATGAGCCCAGCACTGTCCACACTGGGGGGGCAGGGGAGGGGGGGCAGGGGGCGGGGAGGCAGGGGAAGGGGGGTAGGGGAGAGGGGGGCAGGGGGCGGAGAGGCGGGTGTGCGGCCCTGGCCCCCCGCTCACACCTGCTGCGTGAGGATCGGCGTCCTAAGCAGGGAGCCCTCAGCCGGGCCAGGCAAAGGGCGTCAGGGGGCTGCGGCAGGAAGGGGGCAGGCTTACTGAGCCCCCCATCCGAGGGGTCCCGCCATCCCCCGCGGGGCAGGAGCAGGGGCATAACTGGACACTCACCTCCGGCTGCGAGTCCCCCGGCGGGCCTGGGGCACAGGAGCAGAGCCGGGAGAGAATGGCACCGGGGCAAAGGGCACTGCCTGCCTGGCCAGGGTGTCTGACCTCTGCCCCGGGTGTGCCCGGCCGAGGGAGCCGGCATTGCCTAATCTCATCCTCTCATCAGCCCGCTTCCCGTTGGCTGGGGAAACTGAGGCACGGGAGACCCAATGCCTTCGTGCCCAAGGTCAGAGCAGGTGCGCAATGGAGGCAGGCTCCAGGTTCCTCCTGAGCTGCGGCCGCCCTGCCCCTGCCCCTGCCCCGCCAGGCCGGGTGGGACCACAGCTCCGCCGCTGGTGCGGAAGAGGCTCAGACCCTGGGTTTCCTCTCGCGCCCGCAGAAGGAAGGCGGGAGGGAACCCCATGCTGCACGAGGTGTCCCCCGAATGCCAACGCCCTCGCCTCGGGAACCGCAGGGCTGCCGGCGGGTCCAGCAGCCAGGGCCCCCACCGGCCGCTAGCCCCGGGGGCTGCTCCCCCACAGAGCCCGCCCCGATGGGGGTGCAGCCCGGGCCGGGGCGGCCACACCACCCTCCCTCTCCGGCACCGGCCTGGCCCACGGAGCCGCTGGCCCAACGGCCCGAACAAAGGGCGGGAGGGGGCGAAGGCCCGAGCTTCTGGCGGGGCCGCCGCAGAGGTCGCGTGGCCGGGGCTCCCTCCCGCTCCCGCGCCCCCCGAGGGCGGAGAGGGTCCGGGGACGGCATTCGCCGCGCCCACGCCCGCCCGCCTCGGAGACTCCGGGCCCCCGAGCGCCACGCAGGCCGGTCCCGCGCCCGCAACGCCGTCTCCCCCCGCGGCGGCCCGGGAGCGCGGGCCGGGCGCCGGGTGCGGGGCCGGGGGCGTGCGTGCGGCGGCGCCGCGCAGGGCCCCGCTGCTCCGAGGCCGCGGCTCCGGGCGCGCGGAGAACGTGGCCGAGCGCGTCGGGTCGCGGCCCCGCCGGCCGCGCCGGGAGCGTGTCCGTGGGTCCGTCCGCGCCCGTGCGGGCGGCCGCGCCACTCACCCGGAGCGGAGGTCGGGGCCAACTCTCATCCACCTGCCGGCGCGGCGACCTCCCCGCCGGCCGCGCGGCCGCGCTGCACCTGCCGCCCGCCCAGGAGCCCCGCGGCGCCGGGGAGCGCGGAGGAGGCGGCCCCGCGGTCCCGGCCACGAGCGCGGAGGCGGCGACGGCGGCGCCAGGTCGCGCGCTCGCGTCCCGCTGCGCCGAGTCTGCGCGCCCCCGGTCCGGCCTGCGCAGGCGCCGCCCCGCCCCGCGCCTCGAAGCCCCGCCCCTCCGCGCCTTTAAGTGGCCGCCCCGGGCCTCGAAGCCCCGCCCCCTCACCTTAAAGCGGCCGCCCCGCCCAGCGAAGCCCCGCCCCGCGCCTTAGAGCGGCCGCCCCACCCCGCGCAGCCGCAGCCCCGCCCCGCAAAGCCCCGCCCCCTCCGAGCCGCCACCTGCCCCCTAGCGCGCACCGCCTGGCTCCGCCCCCTCCGCGCCTTAAAGGGGCCGCGCCGCCACGCGCGCCGCCGCACCCGCTCCTCCAGCTGAGGACCACGGGAGCGCGCCTGCCCTAGCGGGTCCGTGCGCGCGCGCGGGAGGCCGGTCACGCGGGGCAGCCTTTGTTTGGGTGGCCCACGTGCGTCCGGGCCGGTCGCACCCACTTGCACGCGCGGCGGCCCCAGCCTGCCCGCCCGCCCTTCGCGGTCTCCGCCCGGCGATCCCGGCGCAGGGCGGGCTCGGGCACTGCCAGCACGGGCACTCCGCGGCGGGGCGGTCACCGGGCCCGGGCCCTGGACATCGTCAGGGCCCGGTCTGCGTGGCGGATGGGGAATGAGCTCAGCGCTCGCCGGTGGGGTCCGTTATCTCAGGGGCCGCTGCAGAGAGCCCTGCCCGGGCTGCTGTCCCCCGCGCCCCCTCCGCGCCCCTGGGGGCCAGGGCGGGACCCTCAAACCGCCCGGGAGCCCTGCTCCGGCTGCGCCCAGAGCAAGATCTGGGGGGGGAGGGTGCCTGCTGGTCCCCAAGCCCCGCTCACCCTCTGCCTGCAGGTGGGCAGGGTTCCCACAGAACCGCCTCGCCCACCCCTCCTTGGGGCAGCAGGTGGGACCTGCACCGTCCTCCCCCGCCCACCTGCCCAGCCTCTCTGACTGCAGGCCCCATCGGCTGTCCTCCTTCTGCGGGGCCACCCCAGGCACCCTGGACCTGCGCCTGCCTCAGGCGTCGCTGGGCCCTGAGCCGCTGCTCTCCAGCTCCGGGGCCTGCCCAGCACGCCCTCCTCCTCCTCCTCCTCCCTCTCCTCCTCCTCCTCCCCCTCCTCCTCCTCCCCCTCCTCTTCTTCCTCCTCAGGGCTGTGCTCAGGAGCTGCCTTCCCATGAGGTCCACCCTGACATCCCCTTAAAGCCTGCTGCGTGTCCCCCCCCCCCCGCCCCCTCTCCTCCCGGGCCTTCCCCTTTCTGCTGAATGCCCTGTGGTAGGTGGAGTCAGGTGCCCGGATGCCATGCCCAGCTCACCAGACCCTGTGACCGTGCCACCGGACCTGACTGCAGATGGGCCTGCAGATGGGCCTATGTGAAGGATCTAGAGACGAGGGGTTACCCCGGGTTCCCAGGGGTCCAGTGCCCTTGTCCTTGTCTGGATCCCGGTGGAGTTTCAGCAGGGAGGCGGGAGGGGCAGTTTGAGGAGCCGCCCTGGGAACCGGAGCTCCCGGAGAGCCGGAGCTGGAGCCGAAGACGCCCCCCTGCTGGCCGGGAGCGGGAGGGGGCAGCCAGGAATGCCGCCGCCTCCAGGCGCTGGAAGAGACGGGAAATGGGTGCCCCTGTGCCCCCGAGGGTGTCCAGAAGGCACTAGCCCTGCAGACCCCACGTCTGACTCGGAGCTGGAGGAGGAGAATTGTGCGGCAATAGGTGATGGCGGCAGCAGGAATGTCCACGCCCCTCCTTAACGCCCATGTGCTCCCTGCGTTTTCTGAATCCCAACAGGCACGTCGGCTCCTCAGGCAGGATGCGTCCTGCTTCCATCCCGCGGCTCCTCAGCGCCCGGCGCAGGGTCAGCAGGCTGCGTCTGGACGCATCTGATGTCCGTCTGCAGCCTCAGGGCCTCTGCACAGGGTGGGCCCTGCCCGGAGTGCTCCCGCCCCCTCTGGCTGCAGCTGGGCACCTCTGACCAGCCAGCCGGGCTTGGGCCTCCGCTCCTCCCATCCCAGCGCCAAGGCCGTGGCTGGCTGTGCCGGTAAGCCCGTCTCTCCCACCAGCGTGCTCTCTGAGGGCAGGTGGCGCTGGGCCCCCAAGGCACTTGGCCTGCAAGCCCAGGCCCATGGCTGGTGCTCCGTGCACTGTCCCCTGTCCCTGTCTGTACACCCAGGGATGGTGCTTCTGCGCTGGGCGACTCACCATTTCCTCCTCCTCCTCCTCCTTCTCCTTTTCCTTCTCCTCCTCTTCCTTCTTCTCCTCCTTCTTCTTCTTCTTCTACTTCTTTTTTTTTTTTAAACATAACCTCTGGTGAGGATTTTTAAAAAATATATTTTATTGATTTTTTTACAGAGTGGAAAAGAGAGGGATAGAGAGTTAGAAACATCGATGAGAGAGAGTCATCGATCAGCTGCCTCTTGCAACCCCCCCACCTGGGGATGTGCCCGCAACCAAGGTACATGCCCTTGACTGGAATCGAACCTGGGACTTTTCAGTCCGCAGGCTGACGCTCTATCCACTGAGCCAAACCGGTTTCAGCCTCTTCTTCTTTTTAATATATTTTTACTGATTTCTAAGCGGAAGGGAGAGAGAGAAACATCAATGATGAGAGAAGATAATACTGCCTCCTGCATGCCCCCCCCCCCCATAAGGAATCAAGCCCACAACCCGGGCATATGCTCTGACTGAGCTAGAACTCGGGACCCTTCAGTCCACAGGCCAACACTCTATCCACTGAGCCACACCAGCCAGTCCATCTCACCACTTTCTGCTGTTTTCAGGCACACCTCTTCCAGGAAGTCTGCCCAGACTGCCCCTTTCCTCTGAGCTCCCTCGGGCCATTCTGTCCACTCTGGGCTGTTTCAGAGGAGCCAGCCTGCCCCCAGGCCTTCCCAGCCAATGGGGCATCCCCGTTCAGCCGGGCCCTGAGCCACAGCCTCTCTTTGTTCCTCCTCTTGTCACTCCCCACTCCCCCCAGCCACCCCACCCTTTGGGCTTGGACATTGGCCTCAGAGCGGTGGCCCCACCTTGGATTTTGCACCAGCCACAGCCTCAGCCACCTCAGGGACCTGCTCCCTCCCCACCAGCCGCTGCCAGGCTCCTCCCACCTTTGGCCACCGCCCCCCCCCTCTCGGCCTTGGCTTCCCGGTCTGTAAAGGGAGGAAGGGAGGTGCCCACCGCCAGGCCGGGGCTGTGGACTCTACCAGGCCCGCGTGGCTCCCACGGGGAGGTGGGCACAGCTGGGAGGGAGGCCGAGGGCAGTGGCTCAGGGTCAGGGCTGCCTGTGGCCTGGGGGCGGAGGCTGCTGGGCCTCTATACTGGGTAAATCGGCCTGTTTGCACTTCAGCACCTGGGAGAGTGGCTTGCACACAGTAGGCTCGCAGCACACTCCTGAGTGGCCGGACGAGCCCAGAAACACCATTCCCATGTTTCCTTGACGTTAAATGCCATCAGGCCCGGCGGTGGCTCCGTGGACAGAGTGTAGACCTATGGACCAGGGGGAAATGGTTCCTTTTCCCATTGAGGCTCAGGCCCAGGTTGTGGGCTCGGCCCACAGTGGGGGCGTGCAGGAGGCAGCCGGTCATGATGCTCTCTCATCACCAATGTTTCTCTCTCTCCCTCTCTCCATTGCTCTCTGGAGTCAATACACGTTTTAAAAATAAATCCATAAAGTGCCATCCCGGGTACGTTCCCCACCTCCTCCCCTCTCCAGGCTCTGCTTCTCAGAAAGGCTGAGGTGGGACAGTGAGCGCCGCCTGGTGGAGGAAGCATGGCGCGCAGGGCTTCCCCGCTGTCAGCTGGGCTCCGGGGCCCAGGGAGGCGGAGGGGGCAGAGCGCCCCCAGCCTGCAGGCCCGGGCAGGGGCTTGCCCCACCAGCTCTCTGTTCTGGCTTCTGGGCCTGACGCAGTGCGCCACCTCGTGGCCACCGGCTGAAGTGCAGGACAGGCGGGACAACACTTGGGGCCAGGTGGGCGGGGCCCCCCCTTTGGACTCCTGCCTCTGCTCCCCTGGGAGGGAGGGGTCACAGGGGCCTGGGTCCGGGCTCTGGGTCTTATCTGCTGTGGGGCCTTGCCGAGCCCTTCCAGCTCTCTGAGCCTCAGTTTCCCTGCTTCCTCCTCGCCCCCCATTGGGGCCACAGCCACGCAGAGGGGCCGCAGCCGGACCTGGCCCGCACTGACCGCATCGTGGGGCAGAAGCTGCTGTGATTCTCCTGCCCCAGGGGTCGGCGGGGCTGGGGGGGGGTATGCCCAGTCTGGGGCGGGGCTAGTGGGGGGAGAGCAGGCCTGGCCCAGGCCAGAGGGGGAGGTGAGGGTGGTGGGAACAGCCCTCTGTGTCCTTGGGCCCCTGAGACTGGGGGGGCTGTGAGCAGAGGGGGCCAGTGTGTGGGGGAGGGGCGGGGGGGACGGAGCTCAGAGGGATGTGGCAGAGCAGGCTGGAGGACTCTATACACAAGTTATGATAGAAAAAGAGAGTAAGCCCTGGCCGGTGTGGCTCAGTGGATAGTGTTGGCCTGCAGACGAAAGGGTCCCAGGTTTGATTCCCCATCCGGGCACATGCCCATGCTGTGGGCTTGCTCCCCTGTAGGGGGCGTGCAGGAGGCAGCTGCTCGATGATTCTCTCTCATCAGTGATATTTCTATTTCTCCCTCTCCCTTCCTCTCTGAGATCAATAAAGATATATTTTAAATAAATAAAATAAAAGGGAACAATCGCAAGCTTAGGGTCTCATTCCCACCAACCACAGGTCAAGTGCTCACAGCCACGTGTGGCTGCTGCATTGGATGTGCAGATGGCGGTATGTCCATCACTCCAGGCCCATGGCCTCAACCTTCCTGAAGCCGCGGCCCTTCGGGACAGCTCCTCATGTGG